GGCAGTTGCATCAACCAGGATTAATTTGATAATTTGCTTCAAGCTCATTACAATTTTGGCTCTTCTCCAAGCACCTTGGTTTTTGAAAGATGACTGCTGATAACCCAGGCTGCTTCATTCTTTTAAGACTTTGACATTCCAAGCCAAAATGCTCAGGAATTTTTATGATTCCACTGTTTACAGTGATATTTAATTTTTAAAATATATATAGTCGGGACAAGATTGACATCGTCAATGAAGTGTTGGCAAATATTGATATTACTATTTTCTGGTTAATTTTTACTACATAACACAGACCATGACAGATTAGCATCCGATTTGGTGAACTTACAAGCTCTTAAGCAGAAGACTCAAGTGCATAAAAAAAAAAACTTAAGCAATGATTGCACCATTTACTGCTGTGATGTTTTCACAAAAGAAAGTGGCTGAGAGACACAAAACAACCTAAGAAACTTATAGGAAACACATGTAAATTACAATAACATGACAGGTTACTAGTACCTGAAAAGGCTATATTTTCTACAGTGTTTGTCAGGACAGTGAGCTTAATGAAGGTGTTTAGTGAGAGTTCTTTGAAATGGTTTTACCGACAAATGTATACACATACACTTGTACACACAAATCTGTTGTTGAAAGCAAATCTACAATGCTACTTCTGCTGCTGCTGATAAATCAGACAAGTCTAATGCAAATAGAATTTATGCTGATCAGTGTCTTCCTCCCTGAATGTTATCTTATAGAAAAAGTGATGTAATCTGACTTGAGATATTTAGTACCTTATCTGCAGGAAGTACCACTGACCTCAGAGGAAGAGAAAGAGAAAATGCGCACAAGAGAGGTTCACTAAGAGGCAGTGAGAATGGGATCTGAGCCACATAAGGAGATATTCACAAGAAGTGTGGCTTCATTGGGACAATGTGGGAGGTTCCAAGCATAGGTTTCTCTTCCACCATGTAGTTAACCTCATGACCCACGTTGCAGACCCAAACTTGGTACAATCTCTTCAAGTAAATAATTTGTACCAAACTTAAAGCCATAATAACAAATTAACGTTTTACTATATGCCTAGACTTGGAAAAAATATGAGAGAACACATTTTTAAGTGGTTCTGTTATCTGGAGTAATAGGAAAAGGAACCTAATGATAATTAGGTTAATGGAAGATACAAATGAGAGCTCTTGACCACTATTTCTAAAATTTTTTTAACGTTTATTATTGAGAGACAGAGAGAGACAGAGCATGAGCATGGGAGAGGCAGAGAGAGGAGGAGACACAGAATCCGAAACAGGCTCCAGGCTCTGAGCTGTCAGCACAGAGCCCAACGCAGGGCTTGAACCCACAAACTGAGAGATCACAACCTGAGTCAAAGTCTGACACTTAACCGACTGAGCCACCAAGGCACCCCTCTTGACCACTATTTCTGCCCTCTAATGTAACTTAGATATTAGGAAATGCCATTTTCCATCTCTATCTAGGATGATAGATAGACCTGTTAACTACAATGGTCTCTTTGCCTTGAATTCTCCCCATTAGATCTCCTTCTCAGTGGGGTCTCAACTCAGGATTGCTAAAGCCAACTTATACAACTCAATAGCAAAAACAAACAGTCCAATTGAAAAAAGGGCAGAGGAACTGAAATGACATTCTTCCAAAGAAGACAACAGGTACATTAAAAGGTGCTCAACATCACTAATTATCATGAAAATGCAAGTCAAAACTGCAATGAAAAATCACCTCACACCTGTTAGCATGGCTATTTTCAAATAGACAAGAAATAACAAGTATTGGCAAGGACCTAAAGAAAAGGGAACCCTTGTACACTATTGGTAGGAAGGAAAACTGATGTAGCCACTACAGAAAAAGTATGAAGATTCCTCAAAAAATTAGAACTACCATATGATCCAGCAATGCCACTTCTGGGTATTTAACCAAAGGAAATGAAATTACTACCTTGAAGAGATACATGCACCCCCATGTTCACTGCCGCGTTATTTACAGTAGCCAAGACATGGAAACAACCTTAATCCATTGACAGATGACTGGACAAAGAAAACATGGTGTGCATACACACATACACACACACACACACACACACACACACACACAAATGGACTATTATGCCGCTGTAAAGGGAGGAAATTCTGCCATTTACAACAACACAGGGTATTATGCTAAGAGAAATAAGTCAGACAAAGAAAGACAAATACTGTATGATACATGAAATATTTGGATTCTAATAAAACTGAATTTAAAGATACAGAGAACAGATTGATGGTTACCAGAAGTGAGGGACGTGGGATGGGCAAAATGGGTAAAGATAGTAAAATGGTACAAAGTTTCAGTTATAAGGTAAATCCTGGTAATGTCACATACACCTTGGTGACTATAGTTAACAATACCATACTATATATGTGAAAGTTGCTGCGTGACAGAATCTTAAAAGTTCTCATCATAAGAAAAAACATTTGTAACTATGTGAGGTGATTGATGTTAACTAAACCTATGGTGGTTATACTTTTGCTATATATACATACATCAAATCGTGTTGTATACCTTGAACTAATGCAATATTATATGTAAATTGTATCGCAACAAAAGAAGGAAGAAAAACGTTGCTAAAACCAAAAGCAACTGACAGAAAATATTTTATTTCCAGCAATACTTGATTGCATTCTCTGTTGACCAAACTGCTACCTATTCAATGAAATCAGAAAACGATGGACTTGATTCTCTTCTTCTGAGTCCCTCACTGAACTGACACATAACTAATAGCTAAATGTTCCCAGAAATTATTGTGTAAATCCTAGAGTTGGAGCACCTGGGTGGCTCAGTTGTTCGAGCTTCCAACTTTGGCTTCGGTTGTGACTTCAAGGTTCCTGAGTTAGAGCCCCACATCAGGCTTGCTGCAGTCAGTGTGGAGCCTGCTTCAGATCCTCTGTCTGCCTTTCTCTCTTCCCCTCCCCCACTTGCACTCTTAAAAAATAAACACTAAAAAAATAATAAATAAATAAATAAATCCTAGAGGAGCCATATGCTCTTTGCTCCTCTCTGTTTTGCACACTTCTTTCTACAAGATGCATATGATACTTAGCACTACAACTATGAGGAGGATGCAACTTAATTAAAAAAAATATTTTTTATTGTCCCAATGTCCAAAGATAATTTAAATCAATGATTTAATGATTTAATGGAGTTAACGCTCGGCAATGTCTGTATTGCCCTGAGGCTAACTGCTGGCCTTACATGTCACTAGGGCTCCCTGGTTCCCAACTTCCTCACCCATAAAACAAAAGGATTCAGTGAGATAAATTCCCAAAGTCCCTCCCTGCCTCAACACTTCTTAGTCCCGCAGAGTATGGAGGTGGTAATCTTTTCTTTCACTATTCTATAAAGTTTCTAATTATCAATCCCATTTTCTGGCTGCTCTGTATGCAAAACCTGGTTTGCTTCAGTTGTTTAAAGGCAATATCACATTTAAATGTAAAAATTTGAACTTTAAGAAACAATGGCCAAAGGAACCTTAACATAGGGCTATGTGAGCCTTCATTTGGTTAGAAAAACTTCCTGTGTCTGTTTCATCCACTATCAACACATTCAAGCTTGCACTGGCTTTGATACACTTTTAAATACACTGAGTCACCAGGAAAAGCAATAGATCCTGTTAGTGTTTTAGACTGTTTAAAGTTTGGTAGTAAAAGAAGTGTCCAAGGGAAGACATGATACACAGTTGCCAACCGACATCTTGGAAAGAGATGGAAAATAAACCTGGGACCAGAAAGGCGGAAGGGCCCTTAATATCCTCACATTTATTTTAATGTAGAAATAAAGAGTGATAAATGCATGCTATCTCTTCTCTGGGGTAATTGGCAGTAACAGCTCACACACAAAAAATATTATTATTATTATAGCAGACAAAAAGTGATGATCATGAGAAGCCATGGCAAATAAAGGATGTTTACACCAGTTTAAAAAGAATGTGATTTACTTCCTCTTTGGTCTTCTGACCTATCTATTATGACAGCGATAAGAGGCACTTGGAGGGCTTTTACAAATACTGACTCTGCATAAGTTTGCAGTTATCAGTACACTTGGTCCCATGCTCCTTATTTAGGAAATAAAAAATAAGAAGAAGAAGAAGAAGAAGAAAAAAAGAAAGAAAACCAAATCTTGCTGGCAATGCAGAATTTATCTTAGAATTGAGTATTATGGGAAGAAAAGGGGGAAATAAGTGTGTGTATATGTGAGTGTCAGGGTGAGTGTGTGCACATATACCCCACGAGGCATCAGACTTTAATTTCTGTAGACTTCAGGTGATAGTCCATCTTACTGCTATATTTTACAGGTATTCTCACAATGGGGAACACGAAGGGTGGTTTTTTTGGTGTTTGTTTTTTTCAAGTAGGCTTCATACCCAGCACAGAGCCCAACTCACAACCCTGAAATCAAGACCTGAGCCATGATAAGGAGTCAAATGCTGAATCGACTGGGCCACCCAGTCACCCATGAAGGGTGGCTTCTTTTTTTTAAATTTTCTTTTTTTGAACGTTTTTATTTTATTTTTGGGACAGAGAGACAGAGCATGAATGGGGGAGGGGCAGAGAGAGAGGGAGGCACAGAATCGGAAACAGGCTCCAGGCTCTGAGCCATCAGCCCAGAGCCCGACGCGGGGCTCGAACTCCCGGACCGCGAGATCGTGACCTGGCTGAAGTCGGACGCTTAACCGACTGCGCCACCCAGGCGCCCCGAAGGGTGGCTTCTTAAGGTTTAATGTGGCCTATTTGACTTTGTCACATTAAATCTAAATGTCCTCCTTCTCAGAGGCACTACAGGTGGGTTCTCTGGACCTCTGAGTAGGGGCCAGCACAGTGATAGCCTCGTCAATGATATTCTGGCCTTTTGTGCCTCAGGTTCTGTGACACATAGGTCCTTTAGTAAGTCATTTGTGGCTGTACGGCAGAGTGTGATGGACAGAGACACGTTACATGTTAATCAAAACAAAATTACAATATGTATTGGAACTTTATTATACTCTTTTCATCAAAGTGACTACCTATATGCACTTATAGACTTCATACATCAACACACACACTTTTCATTTCTTCTTATATTCGATAATACATATATACATAAGTATAATGTGTGTTCTTTCCTTTTAAAAATTCCAGGACAATAAAATCTGAAGTTGAAAAACAGATAACCCTCAAAGTGACTTTTCATATTATCAATGATTCTTTACTTTCCAGAGCAGTTTCCCCATCCTAAAAATCCCCTGAGCTTTACCTGTTCTACCCTCTCCCCAACCCCAAATGCCTGGAAACCACTGTTCTGTTTACCATCTCCATAGTCTTGCCTTCTCCAGAGTATCATAGAAATGGAATCCCACAGTACGTAGCCTTTTCAGACTGGCTTCTTTCACTTAGCAATATGCATGTCTTTGCAGGATGTTTTTCCCAGAAGCCTGTAAGTCTTTGAGTGTTTCCTGCCTTTTGGTAAAGCACAGGCTCATTTTGAAGTTTCCCTCCCCCAGCTCTGAAACTGTTCCTTTTCTCAAGGAGACTTGGAATGATTTAGAAACCAATATCTGGGCAAAGGTATGTCTTTCGCTATGAGGTATCATTGCTTCCAGGCCCCTGCAGTAGAGAGAGTTAGAATATCTATTTGTTTACATCACGGCTGAATCACACTGCGTCCTCTGTTCCTAGTCCAAAACCACACACATGCAAATCAGTGTCCTCCAGTCAGGTGTGTTTCTTGTTTTGCCTTTGAGTTTGGAATTGTTTATTTCTTCTTCTTCTGGTAGAATGACTCAGTGAGGGGAAAGCTGTTGATCTGAAGGCTGTTGAGCATTTATGGAGACCACTTTTCCCAAACAGCATATGACAGTTTCCATTCCTTTTGCCTGGCTCTGAAGGACTTGTCATTTCTTTTACTACCAATTAAACAAAACAAAACAAAAAACCCCCACTTCCCCCAAATCCTAAACACTTCACATGTCTCCAAGGTCTAATTTTTACAACTTCCTCCAGGGAGAACAGCAGAGAGAGAACAGGAAGGATGGGGCTGACTGTCTCATGATCTCTTACAACCTCTAACTTCCTTTCTTGATGTGTGGAGTCTGAGACTCAGAGAGCTTATTTCTGTTACCAGATGAATAGGATAAGGAATGCAACTATCATTCTATTCCTTTCTGGGTCAAGTGCTGCTGCAAAGAATGTTGCTGACCTTTGTATCTTCATTGGCTCTAAAAGGCTGCTCCATTTCATCAAAAGACAATTGTTTTTCATAACAAAGCTGGCTCAATTTTCAAGTGGCATTGCATAGTTCAAGTGACTGTAACAATGACAGAAATGCAGGTTTCCTGCTTCTTTCTTTCTGTGAAGTCAAAGGGGGAACCAAAATGAACTTCCAGCCACCAGCGGAAGATCTCTTTGTCTTTCTCCTGCTGTGCTTTGTTTGACGGTCCAAGTTCAACACGCAGCTAACATGAGGAGGCCACAGCAAATTTTCCAGCAGCTGCAGCCAGGATTAAGTGTACTATCTTGTTCTTTTGTGAAATCCATTCCTGAAACAAAAACGAAGCAGGCCCTGAGCCTTCTTCATAGTCTCTGGAAGTGAGGCTGAACACCCGGTATAGAGAGTGCCGTGCTTGAGGAAATCTCTGTTCCTGGCTGCTTTTGCTGCTTTGGGCCGGCTGGCCTTGGGCAAGGTGCTGGCCTTCTCTGAGCCTGCTTCCTTCTCTGCACAAGGAGAATAAAAGTCACCGCCTTGCTTACCTCATAAGGGCGTTTGAGGCTCAAATTAAACGTGATAAGGTCAGAGAGCTTTGTGAACTCTAAAGAACTGTAAATATAAGGTGTTATTAGATGCCGTTGAAAGTAAATGATGAGACAGCTTAATTTAAGTAATTTTAAATGCCTTGGGGTCAAGCAGAGCTGTGTGAGAGTGTTAGATATTTTTAATTGCTCTACGGTAAGGGGAGAGGGGGCAGGGCTGGTGTGAGGAATATGGTGCCTTTCCTCTCCTCCACATCAATGTGGGGGAGAGTTGAAGCACTTTCTGGAGAAGGTAAGTAACATCACAGGGTTTTGAGAACTGTGATCATGAAACAGGATTTAACTAACAAGAGACAGACAGGTGGTGGGAGAGACAACTGTGGTCCTGAGAAACTACAAGTGGACTAAAAGATGTGGCCCAGAAGTGGAAGGAAAGAGAGTAAGCGGAGACTGATAAAGGGCAGAGGAATGGCGGCTGCTTGTGGCTCGAGGGGACCTGCACAACAGGGTGAGGCAAGGCGTTTCCAGGCTTAGGACTAAAGAGGCCAAACATGGAGAATCAGCTGGAAAGGGCTTGATAATCCTCCTAGACCAGTGGCTCTCAGACACTTGGAGATCTACGTATTTATGAGTGTCCACTGTGTGCCAGGGACTGGAAAGTGGACTTTGGTTTTAAACGAAATCTTACACAGAACCCCAATATGTAAAACAGAAAAGCTGAAGCTGTCCTACTGAAGCAAGGCTTGGGGGACCCAGGGCCAGTCAGCCTCCCTCTGAGTGTTATTGGTGGCACCTCTGCAGGGAGATAGGGCTCTACTGAGAGACGGAGATAGGCCCACTCATCCGGCGCGTGAGAGCTATTCAGTATTTCCTAAATGAACGAATGCAACAGAGGGTAGGTGGTCTGCAGGAGAGAATTCAGATAAATGGGTTCAGTGGATTCGGTAACGACACCATGAGGCTGTAAGGCATGTCTAGTTTACATGTAAAGGTTTCTCAAGCTTTAGATGTGGAAGGATGGATGTGGGTCATTGTGGTGGCTTGCCAGGGGTGAGGGAGCTTCCGAATAAGGGGGGGGGGGTGTCCAGCCACTGGTTGTAGAGGGTAGGACAAGCCAAAACTAAATGATACTTCTGGAGAACATGTCTTGGGCATTTCATCGCAAAAATACAGCCAGCCCACTGCTCTGCTCCTACAGAGTAAGGCGGGCTGTCTTCAGAATCACAGACCACCATAAAAACGGCAAATATTTACTGGGTGCTGATTACTTGCCAGGCGCAGTAATAACCCCTTATGCCATGTAGTGGGCAGAATAACTGCCTCCCCCACCAAGACGTCTGTGTCCCAATCCCTGGAGCCTGTGACCGTGTTATAGTGGATGGCAACGGAGGAATTAAGGTTGCAGATGGAGTTGAGGTCATAAGCAGCTGACTGAGGTGGAGGGATTACGCTGGATTATCTGGTGGGCCCAGTGTGATCACAGGGGTTGTTTATAAGCAGGAAGGCAGGAGTCAGTGTCAGAGAAGATGTGAGGACACAGCAGAGGTTGGAGTGATATGATAGGAGGGCTCCAATTGCTGTTGCTGTTTTGAAGAAGGAACAAGGAATGTGGGCAGCTTCTAGAAGCTGGAAAAGCAAGGGAACAGATGTCTAGATTCTTGTCTAGAGCCTCCTGGCCTTGCTGACACCTTGACTTTAGCCCAGTGAAACCTATTTCACACTTCTGACCTCCAGAACAGTAACACAGAAAATAAATGTTGCTTTAAACCACTGAACTTAGGGTCCTTTGTTGCAGCAGCAGGAGGGCACTAATACAGGTGCTCTCACTGCACCTTCATAGCAGCTGTATCTGATGAATACTTAATACTGCCATTTTGCAGATGAGGCTTACAGAGGTTGACTCATTTGACTCAGAGGTGAGCTGATGGCCTGACTCTGGAGTCAGCTCTCTCTATCACAGTGTGATCTGGAGATGGCTTTATGTCTTCATTTCACAAACAAGAAAACTGAGGCCCAGAGAGGTGTCCTCATCTGCTCCAGGTCACATGCAAGTTGGTGACCAAGCTCAACGGTACCCCATAAGAATGTGTAGACCAATACCTTACAAATGTAAATGTGCCCACAAGTCACCAGGAATCTTGCTAGGATATGGGTTCTGATTCAGAAGGTCTGGGCTGGGATCTGGGATCCTGCATTTCTAACCAGCTCCGAGGTGCTGGGCTTCGAGTAGAAAGGCTGTAGATGGCCCTGTGCCCTGCTTTGGGGGATCTGAGCAATCCAGAGCCACCAGAGAGCCTTGGGCATCTATTGAGATGAGGGGACACTAGGGAGGGAGAGAGGGAGATTAAAAAGATGGAGACACGGGGCACCTGGGTGGCTCAGTTGGTTGAGCGTCTGACTTTGGCTCAGGTCATGATCTCACAGTCTGTGAGTTCGAGCCCCGTGTTGGGCTCTGTGCTGACAGCTCAGACCCTGGAGCCTGCTTCTGATTCTGTGTCTCCCTCTCTCTCTGCCCTTCTCCCACTCATGTTCTGTCTCTCCCTCTCTGTCAAAAACAAATAAACATTAAAAAAAATTTTTAAAAGATGGAGACTGGAGCAGATGCCTCACAATTCTGTAGAGAATGAGATTTAGGGTCTTGGAGGGAAAGGTCTAATGCTATAGGCTCCCCTTAGGAAAAATGTTACCCAAATGTGACCATTATTGTCATTCGAAAAGTCATTCAAAACTTGCAGGTATGGGTCTAGCATCATGATTACCTCTGCTCTTTTATGGGACAACACAGTTCAAGGACATTCTTCCAACAGACACTAAAATATGTATGCTTGGAGAAAAAGCAACAGTGTCTATTCCTTGCCATATATTTTATGTACTTTTTTTTAAGGGGAAAAAGAGGTAGTATGCTTATTATTTTAGAAACATCTCTAAAGTTTTGACAAATGAATACACACACACACACACACACACACACACATACACACCAATACCCCATGTTTGTATGGTAGCTGCTGGGAGATTCTCCCTAACCTACTTTATTGTGATTGCAGAATTTCCAGCTGTCTGTGGCTACCAGAGCTGCCTGAAGGCTAGGAATGTTCTGGTTTCATTTTGAAACTAAGCACGCAACCAAGAAATATCAGCTTTCATTTCAGATACGTGAACCTAGAGGAAGAAAATGTTTGGCTGGCTGTTTCCTCGGGGTATAGTGTGAAAATACGCCTCCATATGTTTGCAAAGGCCCCAAAAATGAAAAAACAATTTTTTTTTACTCATCCGACTTAGCACTATTAACCTTCAGTGCTTCCTAATGTACAGTTTGAAAATGGAATTTTAAAGTACTTATAGAATAATTTTTTCTGCATTTTTTCTTAGCTCTAGGATTTTCCTCTAAAGGTAATGGCGAATCTGGAAAATAATAAAATATGTTGACTAGTTGTCTGGAGCACTCAGCAAGTGCTGAGGAGCCCTATAAAGTACAAGGAAGATATTGTGCAAGGTTCTTTGCACTCTTAAGTGTCCAGATGCCCAAGTGTGACAATTCTGGACACCAAGGCCTTTAGTGGGGAGGACTCTGGCCAGCTGGGGAGATTGATTCCATGGGTGGTTTTCAGTTATCAGTGTGGGGTGGTGAAAAAAAACATGACTTGAAAACCCTTGTTAGCATATTGTCTTGGACAGGCCCCAATTCCTCTCCTTGGATTATTTCTCCACTATGGGTTCATGTCCTTACCTGTGAATTAGGAATAATCATACCTCCTTTCAGGATTATTGTGATAATTAAAGAATATAATATGAAAGGCACAAGATGGGCCCCTAAAAATGTTTGCTTTTAAGTAACAGTAAACAGACTTTCCAGAATAATTTGTGTTGGCTACGGAATGTATTGTTATCTTTCTACCTTAAATCATCTTTCTCATTATATTTTGCTTGGTCTACCAGCAATATCAATCTTTACTTCTTTTGCAAATATAACTGATGATGGGAGAGACAATTTGTGGCAGGCCATTATAATCTACAGAATGCATAAATACATGCAGATAAAGGAGAGATGACTGTTTTTGGAAAAAATGGTAAGAAATCAATTATCCTAGTGAGGTGATAAAAAGATTTCAATAAAGCAGAGACCTTCTCTGGTGCCTACTAGTAAGTGCTGGAGCCCAGAAGAGTTGGACTGGTTTTCCTTTCTTTCCTGCCTCCCTTCAATAAATACCAGAGTCCACACCCCTCCCTTGCCAGTTGGCAGAGAAAGCACTTCCTGGGAAATGCTCCTTCCCTTGCCCTTTGCTCACACTCCTTAAGCCACATAGCTAACTAAGGTGGCTCTGGGGAGACAGGTGCCAGCCCTCCCCCTCCACCCCCTCTCCTCCCTTGGCTGCTTTCTCCCCTACAGCTCTGGGCAGAGGTCGTCACATGGCATGTCAGGGCAGAAGGACTGGAGCACAATTTCCTGCCTGAGTGCCAGTCAGAAGGAATGCAGTTAAGCTGCAGGGTGCCTCACTTGCATTGGCCCTTCTGAGCTCTAGGCCTATGTTCTCATGGTCATATGGTTTTTTATAAAATTTGCAAGACGTATTTTAACCACAATCACTGAAGATCCTGTTACTTCTACTCTGATTTCCCTTCCAGCATGCTTCCCCATCTGTTAGGGGCCTTGTGGGTTTCCATGGGCATTTGGAGGGAAGTTGAATTGGAGATGCATTTAGTCTGGGCTCAGTGGGATATACTTGATGCATGCACTTAAGCTATTGTTAGGAACACACCTATTGCCTGCTCACTGGGAGTCATGACAGGAAGATGCAGGGAACAGAGGTCATTTCATGACATGGATGGCATGTGGCACTGGAAGTACGAGGTGAGTGGAAGAGAAACAAGGTTTGAAACCTTTGGAGCTAGAAGGCAGTCTGTGGAACATTCTGCCAATCAGCACTAAATGGAAGATTCAGTTCCCAAAGAAGCAGAGTCAA